CCGCCCCGCTTGCAAAGTGGCCAGTAACCGCTTTGTCTGTGGACTAATTTTTCCCTCCCCTCCTCGCTCCGCTCCGGTCTGCCCCGCTTGCAAAGAGGCCAGTCACCTCTTTGTCTTTGTATGTTCTAATTTCTATCGCCCATCCCCATCTCCGCTCCGCACCGCCCCACTTGCAAAGTGACCAGTCACCTCTTTGTCTTTGTATGTTCTAATTTCCATCGCCTCTTCCCATCTCCGCTCCGCACCGCCCCACTTGCAAAATGACCAGTCACCTCTTTGTCTTTGTACTAATTTTCACCGCTCCTCTCCGCTCCTCTCCGCTCTTCTCCGCTCCGCACCGCCCCGCTCTTGGTGTGGCCAGTCACCTCTTTTTGTTTTGACTAATTTCCACCGCCCCTCCTCGCTCCGCTCTACCCCGCTTGCAGTGTGACCACAGCCTAATTAGACTGATGATATATACATATATGAGGGATCAGCTCAGCTGTCTACGTTGACCCATCATTGCTTGGACGGCTATTCCCTGTGAGGATAAGTTATTATTGCTAATGGTATCACCATCCGAGGTACTAGGTACACATAGCCTACAATACGTGACGCGCTCTTTCGTCTACTGTGTCTTTTTGTGTTGTAGATAAAGTGTTACATGTCAGAAGATGTCCACTGCAGTCTGATCTCTCCTGGAGTGTGGTGAACATCGTAGTTAGTTAATTAGGATCAAGAGCAGGGCTTTAAAAGAAATGTTTCCTCTATTGCGGACAATTTTCTTTTGTTCAGACGATACATCCACTGTCATCATTTTGTCGAACGTGTCCGGTTTTTGCTACTGGGGTACTAAATACTCTCCTTTTTGGTTGGTTCTGACAGACTGGATCGAAGAAGCCCGCTTCTGAAATCATCCAAGCTGTTTAGCAAAATATCAAAAACTAGCCATAACCGTAGTTTAGAGAAATATTGCTGTGGCTGCCTTGGTCTGGAAACCTGAAAATCTTCGGAAAATTTCAAATTGGAGACTTTGCTGGGTTCACTCTTCTACACAAAACACAAAAACTAATAGCCTGTACACTTTCCTAAACACGGAGAGAGAAGAAAAAAATTGTCGCTTTTAAGCACAAGCGGGTTTTCCCGAAAAATGTTGTTTCGAGAAAATCGAAGGTAAATTTTTGGACCCTTGTTCAGTTTCCTGAAAAGAAAAGGAGATTTTTCTCTATAAGCAAACAAATATACGCACCAATGAAACCAAACTTCTCCTATTGGTAGGACTATACCCACTTTTGGTGTAGGTTAAGATTTCCGAAAAACCCCGAAATCTGGGTTAGCCCGCATGTCCTTGAAAGCGACCAATTGTGCGAAACAGTGGAGGGGGACCCAGTCAGGTACTACAGAGGACCGGCAACCCCAGTTCGAATCTACAAACGGTCATTCTAGAGCTTGGGACGTGTGCGGATTATCTTAAACCAAATAGGGAAGGACGTAAAAAAGGAGTTTGTGCTCCGAAATAGAAAAACTCTGGACAAATAGTGCTAAACAAATAGGACACCTAAGGCAGAGATCCCAATCTGTCCCCGTGGTTTTATGCACCTCGCATAATTTAACAAAATTAGATCATTTTTTGCTTAATTTCTGATTATTTTCCTTATCATTTTTTGTTAAAATGAATAACAGAATCGCATAATTTCACATTTTTGGGCTCAGTTTGCATGATTTCAGAATTTTTCTTGCATAAAATGACGGGGACAGCCCAATGTACTTTACTACTCAAAAGAAGGATTACCCATCTCTTCATCTGATTTCCCGAAAAACGCTCAGTCATTGTGTTCGGGCCCTTCGTTCATGACAGTGACAATGATAATCATTATTGAGGCGTGCTGACAAAATGAGTTACTTCTCGCGATCCAAGAATGAAGATATCGGCCGAAAATCAACACTGGGGTCAGATTTAAAGATTTTTAGTTGATGCCATTTTGTTCAAGTCTACTGTGTCTTTTATTATTCCATACTTACAAATTGTATAAACTCCACCTAAAAAGTTGATGTATCAATTTTCATACGGCTAAAACCCGAAAGAAAACTCATTTTGTCAGCACACCTCACATTAGCTGAAACAAAATTAAATGTGTCACGACACGGTGAAATCAGGCGCTTGCCACATATTCTGAGAATCAGGAGTTAATAGTTTCTAATTCAACCCGGTTTATTTGTCTTCCTTTTAATGAGAAAAAAAAACACCTTTACTTTACCTCAAACAGAAGTCGACAATTTTTTAGATTGAAAGAGGTGGAGATTTGGTATCAGGGTTAAAATTAGCGAGAAAATGGCCGCCAAAGTTTGATTACTTCCAAAGCATGGGTGTCCATGTTGGAAACTGCGAATTTACTTATGGTATGGTTAGGCAATATTTTTTTCAGTAAATTCTACACAGATAATAATATGTATCTTTGAATGGATGTAAAAGGTGCTGAACCAAAAACAAAGCAAAGAAAGGAAAAATGAATTGATGAAAATGTTAATGCCAGTTTGTTTGGTTTCATTTTTTTGCCGAGTGTCTGATTTCATCACTCTGTGATACAAATGATTTTCTTTAATCGTGCTATGACGCTACCTCAAAACTACGCAATTCTATCTGCACAGTTCCTAGTTTTCAGAAGTTTGACGTCAAAGACTTGATTTTGAGTTTCACACAATTGCAATTCTTTATATATCATGATAATGACTTTGAATAGTCTTACGATTTTGATAGAGCAGATAGAACATGTGGTTTCTGCCCTCATTGTGTTATAACTTAAAAGGACCTAAAATGTCAGATAAAACTTTGTAATTTTGAGGTAGTGATGAGACTCCGCTCCGGCACAGTTTTGTTTTATCATTGTTGTTCTTGTTTTTTATTTTCAGCATTGGTAGCTTCGTCCACTTGCTCAGACCAGCGATCCTACATCATCCAGGAAAAGTGACGCCACCGTATTAACGTCACGATGGCCAAGCATTCCTTCCACATCGGCGACTTTGTCGTGTTTGGATTAACTATTGTCGTGTCCATCGGTATCGGCATCTTCCACGCTTTCTCTGGGGGCAGACAGAGGACTACGGCAGGTGAAGAGAGAAAGACAGAGACAGATAGATAGATAGATAGATAGATAGATAGATAGATAGATAGATAGATAGATAGA